CCTCTCCGGGGATGGTGTTGCGTTACCTCACTCCACCGTCCAGGGAGACGTGCGTTCCTTGATGTGGCACGGCTTTACCTCCACTCTGGGAGTAGTCTCGAGCATGACTTTCTCCCACCGCTCCTGGGAGTTGTACGGACGTGGGTCAAAACAGCTTTGCTTCCTCTCCGGGGGGGAGGTGTTGCGTTACCTCTCTCCACCGTTCGGGGAGTAGTTCGGGCGGGACTGTGTCGGGACGAAACGGTCACCTAGAAGCGGCTTTCTCAAGGCCGAATGTTTTTAATCCTCAGCGAGGGTTTAGAAAACCCTTGCCTCATATCCATTATCGGCGACACATAATCATGTTAGTGCGCAACTTCCGTTGCGTTGGAAGTCATGCGTTTTGCATTGTGACTAGCTTTTAGCTTCGGAATGTAAATCTGTACTAATTTCCCACGCCAGGCAGAGACAAGTCACGTGTGACACCGCCGCGAGCTTGGCGATGTGAATTTTCCGACTTAGAGGGGTTCAGGCTGAAATTCGGAGTTCTTGTTTACTACCGGCTTCCAATTAAACAATATGGTTAGTAGGTCTACTAGTATCTTGTCGAAGGTTTTCGATTGTATTAGAAAAGTAAGGGTGTTTCTAGACGCGTCGGTAGACCCACATATATAAATGATTGACAGTCACAGAGAGAGAGAGAGAGAGAGGCGGAGAGTGATCGATATTTTTTAACTTCACGAGACGTGTATTATTCTTTGTGAACTTATATGTGTTTATTCGCATTGATCATTAATCATTATTCATTGGCACATTGTACTAACTGTGTATCAGTTGATGATTTGTAATTATATTTCTTTTGTTTGTAATTGCATTATCACTAAATTAAATCTTATTAATTGTAATTGGCAACTCATTTTGCGTGTTGAATCTTTATTATTGTATTTCTCTATGGTATCGTCCTTTGTTGCGCACTGTGTGAACGAGCCATAACTTAAAATAGGAGATTAATTTCTCACAATAGAAGCCAGTGTGTAACACCCACATACGGGCCAATGCTGGGTCTCCCCGCCTTCAGACCATTCAGAAGCACGCCGGGAACACCCCCCTGTCCTGGGAGACGTCCGGTCGAATGAAAACGCTGCGTTTAAAGCGTTCACGGCCCACTCTCCTTGGGTCTGAACGGCTTTGCTTCCTCAACGGGGAAGGTGTTTCGTTATCTCCACCCACCGTCCACGGGGTTGTCCTGTCGTTACGAAAGCTGGGACGAAACGTTCGCCTAGGAGCGGCTTTCTCGGGGCCGCGTATTTAAAATCATCGGCAAGGGTTTTAACCGCCACTCTTGTCTCATATCCATTAACGGCAATAAATAATCATGGTATTGCGTTACTCCCGTTGCTTTGGGAGTCATGCAAGTGGCCGGGGTTTTTTTTTAGCCTTGGGAGAGAACCTCACTAGTCTGCCACGAAGAGGCAAAACCCCATGTGGACACCTCCAAGTTTCCTCGGAGACGCTCCGCTTCCGCGGACATAAGACGTAAGCCGGCGTAAGAAACTATTACTATCAATAATGTGATCCTATGGGACAAGCAGGACACATAACATAAGCAACATGTTGACTCAAACCATTGGCTCCAGCTGTCTTGTCACACAAGTTTCCGATTGGTTGAAAATCTTTTGAAACCCGTTTTATTATTTTTTTTAAAAATAGAGTTTTACTTATCGCATCACATTATAGTCATGGTGGGGACACGAGTTAATACACATTTTAAGTAATTGAAGTCATGGTAAGTCTCACATTAAGTAAATAAATAACTATAGATGTCCAATAAGATGTATTACTTCCAATTTGAGATAAGAATACCCACCCACACCCCTAACCAAAATCATCTAAGTGATTATACGCACAGCTGTGCGCATAGCGCTAATCATTATTCAAAAATGTTGGTCTGTCGATAGCGCTCGGCATTATGCGTAGTATCAAGGATGGTCACAAATTATTCTGTTTGAGGGGCCAGAAATCGGCAGTAAAACGATGTCGGTATGAAAAGCTCCGCGCGTGGGGTGGTGGTGACTCGCGCGTGGGGTGGTAGTCACTCGCGCGTGGGGTGGTGGTCACTCGCACGTGGGGTGGTGGTGACTCGCGCGTGGGGCGGTGGTCATTCGCGTGGGGGGTGGGGGTCACTCGCGCGGAGGGTGGTGGTTGCTCGCACGTTGGTCACTCGCGTGTGGGGTGGTGGTCACTCGCGCGTGGGGTGGTGGTCACTCGCGCGTAGGGTGGTGGTCACTCGCATGTAGGGTGGTATTCACTCGCGCGTGGGGTGGTGGTCACTCGCACGTGGGGTGGTGGTCACTCGCACGTGGGGTGGTGGTCAACTCGTTGAAAGTTTATGTGTATTGCGCGTAGCTTCAGCTTTAAAACTCGATCGTTCCAGTAAAAGGGGGCCACAGTATGAGGGTTGGCGGCCGCTTGCTGCTCTAAGCTTACAGGTAAATGGTTGGGCGTATTAAAATGTTTTGTTTAATTTATACATAGATGGGGTTTTGAAATGTGTTTGTGACATGCTCATGAAACATCGATATATCCTACACTACTTAACACTACCCGGTCCCGGCTTGGAGTATGATCCTACAAATCCTGCGTATTTATGCGAAAATTTCGGTCTACCGAGAACGCTCTACATTATTCCAAAATGGCGGTCTGAGAATAACGCTCTACATAATTCGAAAAATTTGGTCTGCCGATAACGATCTACAGAATTCGAACATTTCGGTCTGCTGAGAATGCTCTGCTTTATATGCACAGCTGTGTGCATAACGCTTCCTTTTTTTAACACATGCCTTTGAATGTCTCCAGGTTACACAAATTAGTATGGTCAAGAAAGCAATACATATGATCAATATTTTTAATTATAAATATTCATGTTTATTTATTTTATTATTTATTTTATTATTTATTTATTTTTTTTTTTGGTGGGCGAAATCTTTTAAACTTAAATTTGGGATGATTTTAGGCTTCGAACTGAACCCCAACTGTCTAGGATGGGCAAGAGACTAGTTTAAACTGATTGGCAAGAAGGAATTTTTTATAATTATAATATAACCAGTATAGAAATTATAGACCTACGACCCAATTTTTTTTTTTTTTTTTTTTTTTTTAATTTTCGCAGGGTTAAATTTTATGGAAAAATGAAGATACTTTTTTTTTTCTTTTAGCGAAATAGTTTTACCAAAATTTTTTTTTTTTTTTTGATGGGCAAGAGACTAGTTTAAACTGATTGGCAAGAAGGAATTTTTTATAATTATAATATAACCAGTATAGAAATTATAGACCTACGACCCAATTTTTTTTTTTTTTTTTTTTTTTTTTTATTTTTCCTGGGATTAATTTTTGTTGAAAATTAAAAAATTTTTTTTTTTTTTTTTTTTTTTTTTGAATTATCGCAGGATTAAATTTGATGGAAAAATGAAGATACTTTTTTTTAGCTTTTAGCGAAATAGTCTGACCAAAATATTTCTTGTTTTTTCTGGCATCCGTCAGCCACTATGTGACGATGGTGTGGACTTCATTATATCACGACTCAGCTTCTTTATCCGTCTTCTCCCTTGAATATGATCCTTTATTTTCTCACTACTTTTTTTTTTTTTTTTTTTTATTCACTTTTTTTTTTGGAATTATAACCTTTTTACGACAGTCCCCTGGTGGATCCACACCTTCATCTGCTCAGATTATTTTGTAATTGCACCCGTTAAACCGACCTAATTTAGGATTCGACTTCAATCATTAAAGCCCTACATTGCGTTATCACCATGGGTATTGCTATCACAGGCAGGCTACCACTCAATTTTTTTTTTTTAATTCCCAAAACTTTGTCCAAATATTTCCAAAGATTTCCCAAGATCATTAATAATCAGAGTTGTCTATTATTGTAAGCGCCACAGTGCATAGCAATTTAAGTATAACCTGCCTTAACCAAATGAGGTCCTGGCTTTACCAGTAAACAATAAAGATTATTGCACAAGGCTTCGGTGAGAAATTTAATAGATAGATTTATAAGAGAACCAGTTCTACTATCCGTAGAAATTTTGCGGCTGATTGCATACATTGAAATTTAGATAGTGTGTCTTTAAAAGCTGTAGAAACAAAAAAAATTGGAATAAAAAGAGTCGAATCGGCCAATTCTGAAAATGCAATGCTGTTTGGAAGATTGCCTATCGTGGCGTTAGGTCCAGACGCACGATTAGAATTATAATATTTTAATTGGTGTTTCCCCTATTCTAAGAATGATAGCAATATTTGCTTTAGTTTTAGATGGATTAGCTAGCAGCTATGTGGTTAGATCTAAATAAAGATATTAATTGTTGGTAAACCTGCTCAAGAATTGTATGTGTTTGTGTCAGTATGGAGAAATTAAATTGCAGTTATATTTGAATTTTTCATGAAGTGGGTGGGGAAGGGGGGGTAGTCTATGTATAAAGCTGTTTGGGGTCTTGATAAGAAAATTTACAAGATAGCAATCCTTCCATCCATGCCTGTGGTTCTACAGCCCATGTCCATGTAGGGCTTTGGCCTGCCTCCCCACTTCCTTCCAATCAGACTTAACTAATGCTTTTCTCCTCCATGTTTAGATTCCCAGCTGATGTAGATCTTTTTCCACACCATCCATCCATCTAAGCCTAGGTCTGCCTTTGAGCCTTTTTCCTCTGGGGTTTTGGTGGAGCTCCCTCTTCACTCCTCTGTCATTTGGCGTTCTTTCTAGATGTCACGCCCAGCTTAGCCTGCCCTTTTTTATTTCATCTACTAGCGTGCGATCCTGACATTAACTATACAACTCCTGGTTGGTTCGTCTTCTCCATCCATATTCATCCTTTATTGGTCCGTATATTTTCCGGAGAACTTTTCTCTCGATTTGGGTATTATAGATTTTCAAGATAACATTCAGAAACATAAAAAAAAGCATTAAATAGAATCACACGAACAGTAAAGTTACATTTATCAAAAACAACAAACAAGTAAGTTGAGGGTGAGCTAATTATTTAATTCTTTATTGATAACAAAATAACATATTTTATCTCCCATTATTGTAACTTCATACTTCAACAGTATACTTAATGGATGACCGGATTGTGAGCATCCAAACATACATTCCCCTGTAGCTTTCCTCAATCCCATCCTAGCAACCATCATGTTCTCTAAAGACTAAAGACATTATCAATTCCATCCTAGCACTCATTTATTCCTTCACCACTTCATCAATGGTAATATTCTCACATTTTTTTTCTCACTTTTACTTTTAGCCACATTTAGGATTTAAACTAATAGTTTTTATTAAAAGCATCAAAGACAAAAAAGAAATAGAAATAAAGAATATTAGCTACTCAAATATCCTTTAAAATTATTTCCTATTTTAGGATTTCATTTGACTTCCTTTAATCGAAGCAAAAATATTCATTATTGTTTATTGATGCTTCTTGTTGTTATCAAATTTAGAGTCATAGATTGATAAATGTTTGTAGCTTTACAATGCTTGTGTGATACTATCAGGAAATGTGATGAGCTCTTCATCTGACTGATTCAGATTGTCAATCAAACTAATAAGACATTTAAATTGTAGCTCTAATCTACTTTGGTCTTTGGTTTTGTTATCAAAGAGCACAGCCTTCCCACACTCTAATATAATTTCATTAGACCCCGTATTTTCTGAACACCAGTGTGAAAATAGAGTGTCATTCAAAAGGTCACCACCTGTCATCACTATGACACAAAACTTGCGGAGAAAGTCTTCCCCAAAATATTTCTTCACTAGCCTTATCAAATTCATGTCGCTGGCGTCAGCCTTTCTCATAGCGCTAAACACAATAATGAATGCGTGATACCCAGAAGCATTTACAGCATTTGCCTGTTTCATAGCTTTAATGAAATACTCCTCACTGACTGGAGCCTCCTCCGATGGGTCTTCAAAACCAGGTCCATCAAAGACAGTTATGACACGGTCGTCGAACGTGTAAGTTTCACTGGAGATGTTGGTCGTGACTGGCATTGAGCTTAAAACACTTTTGAAGACCTGTCGTCTCAAGACAGAATTCCCTGTTGCACTTTTGCCACTTCCTGTATTGCCAATCAATAGCACATTTATGTTCTCTTTAATTTTAATGACTTCATGCATGGGGATCTGAAATTTAAATGGGACACTTGAAACGAAGAACGCACATATAGGAATGAAAATAAACAATCCCTGAAAACTAAGTTTTTCGTATCAATCCTTTATAAAATGTAATGGGCTGAAATTTTGACAAAACATGCATACAAGAAAGGCAATTTATTAGAATCTTAATTTATTCCCCCCTCCCCCCCACACAGGCTCACAACCGCATATTTTTTTAGGGATTGGGGCTGAAAATTTGAAAGCATGTGTAATGAGTCTATGTACCAAGTTCTGCTCAATAGGTTGATGCGAAGTGAATCAATTAGCCATCTGTAGATTTTTTCCTGCCAGCCAGCTACCCACGAGCAAAGCGAAGTTAATGTAAAGGATTTTAAAATCCCTTTATTTTTGTATCAAAATAATTAAATACTTTAATAATAAATATTTTATCATTATATTCTTAACATTAACTACGAAAAAATAATTTTAGCTACATACACATTGTATTAGAATTGATTTTATTACTCATGTAAAAATAACTTCACTTTTAATTAATATAATATTATGAAAAATGGTACTTACTGTGAGAAAACTAATTTTTTGGAATTTGTTAGAGAATTCTGCAAACAAAAAAGAAATGATTAAACAGCATGATAATCATTGTTTATAAACTATCAGTTTACACTGCTGTTATTAGTATTATTTGCATTTGAAAATCTTTATACTTTTTGAAATGATCTGACTAAAATATGATTTTTTTTTTCATTTTATGTTTTTATTTTAATGTCCATTTGGGCTGTTGTCAGTTATAGAAGCTACAAATTGTATACAGACTAAATGCTCTTTTCATAAAGTAAACTATAAATTGTATACAGACTAAATGCTCTTTTCATGAAACTAAACTATAAATTGTGTATGCTACAGACCAAATGCTCTTTTAAAACTGAACTTTATAAAATTGTATACAGACTAAATGCCATTTTCATCAAACTTAACTATAAATTGTACAAAAACTAAATATTCTTTTCATAAAACTGAACTATAAATTTTATGCAGACTAAATGCTCTTTTCACTAAACTGAACTATAAATTGTACACAAAATAGATGCTCTTTTCATAAAACTGAACTATAAATTGTATACAGACTAAATGCTCTTTTCATAAAACTGAACTATAAATTGTAAGCAAACTAAATGGTGCTAGGCCAACACCAGAAACGAGTGCCCCCATACACACCCAAACAACATTTATATAATTATTCTAGAAGAAATAACCCTTGGTTATCACCCAGGTATAAATGGAAACCTTATTTTTACTACTGTCTGCGTGATATAGCAAAGTATTGCGTGTGTATTGGCCAGTGTTTCATATATTCTAAATTTTCCAATACCTTTCAACACAGACATCTAACATCTAACAAAAATTTCATGTCTGCCAATAAATTGGGTCTTGAGAATTTAAAAGAAAGTACCCATACGAAAGCTCTTCGTTGGCGTTAAAATGTTTATTTAAGAAATGGTAAACCAGAAATTTTTTTTTTTTTTTTTCACTATGTTAATTAAATGTAACTTGAGATACACTTAAACTTATAAGTATTCATTAAGGTTATTAAGGGCTGGAAAAAATGATGTCCCAATTTACTACCTGAGACATCGTTGGACTTGAAAGACTCTAATCCCTGTGTTTTTCCCCGCTTACCATGTTCTGGGGACAAAAATTAATTTATTGATGAGAGCTTAACAAATTTAAGTGTCTCATATTATCATTTAACTCTTTCCTCCACTCTGTTTTGAAATTGTGAAAGTATTAAAAAAAATCTGAGAATCACTTCAGCAATATTAAGACTTAAAAAATCTATTCAATGCTTTTTTTTTTAAAATTCTTGATTATTCCTTACACTGGTAAGTTACTACAGATGAGGAATTTAAACTTGGTGATAAAAATGGTGCAGACTAATGTAAAAGCTGCAAAGCATTTAAGTAAAAATAAATTCCTACCAAAGGTTTTCTGGAAAAATTCTGCGGATATCACTTTAAATATAACACATATTGAAGCATATAAAAATATATTAATTTTTTGTAACAGCTGTTAGGACAAAATTTAAATACAAAGGACATTCACATTAATTTCACTCTAACTTCTTTACAAGTTAAACCATTTTTGAATATTTGCAAAACCACAAATTAATTAGCAATCTGTTAGCCACTAGTTTTGATTTGACTTAATTTGTATTTAATCTATATGCAATCATGTTATAACAATAACACTTTGGTGATAGTAAATAATTTTATTTCTTTTTTTTTAAACAGTAGCTTTAAATTGAATACAAAGAGAAATGAAGTTACTAATGAATTATGATTCTTCATTCTTTAAATACCTTTTTACTTCAATTAAAAAATACTTACAAACGAATTTTAAAATTTAAACAAGTATAGATATTTACCACGTTCTAGCTCCTCAAGTTTCTCATGGGCTTTCTTGTCTTCCTCATGTTCTTTGTTAATAGCATCTTGAGAATAATACATTTGCAAAATGTTAATCTTAGATATTGGTAAATAGCAATCTGTATCTTATAACCAAATACATGACTTACAAATATACAAAGCTTTTATTTTTTATGTTATAGCTTGTAATAGATAAAGAACTGTACAGTTTAAAAAAATGCCAAATTAAAATATATTCTAAAAATTGCTAAGACAGCGAAAGGAAAACTTTCCTTATTATTATTTTTTTATTACTTAATTGTGATCTTAGTACTTTTATTTCAGTCTTTTGATCTTCCATGGCAATTATATAATCTGTTTTAAAATGAATGGGATTAGTTAAAACGAAAACAATTATAAGAAAAATAATAATAGAGACTACTGTTTTAGACTAATCTAACTGAGTAAAGTTCTGTAAAATCCATTTTTTAAAATTACAAAATAATTAAATTTGTATATTTTATCATTAAAAACAATATTTTAAAAAGATGATGCATATGTTACATGTAGAAATTCTAAGTTTTAGAAGTGTTTTCTAGTTGTTGATGCAATTTTTGGGGAAATATTTGTGCAAATTGAAAAGTTTCTTCAAGATTTATTTTACTTAAATGGAATTAAAAAATGTAGGTGCACATGAGTATTTTTGATTTTGACTTAATATATGTTTTCAGATTATTCAACATGCAACAAAAGTAACATTCCTGAAACTCCCACATCTTGACATTATGTGTTTGTCAATGATTCATTTAACAGTGTATTTCATTAAAGTGGACAGCCTAGCCATGATACATGGAGCATCTTATTAAACCTCTCTCGGAATTGTTCTGCCACTTTTTTCAAACTTGATCACCATTCACGACTAATTAAGAATGAGTAAAATTAATGGTCATCTATGGAGACTTATCCTACATCAAGAGACCCATTTCCAAAAACAACTGGCTTGCATATCTTCTTTTTCAAAACTAGGAATACATGGTCGCTGAAGCGGTGTTTCATTGAAAATGCATTTACATGCAGATACAAAAGTTTCAGTGCTGTTCTTTGGCACATGTATAAATATATATATTATATATACTAAAATCACTAATAATAATTCACTAAGTATGCATTGCTGTGTATAAAATAGGGGCACAAAATAAAATTTCAAGAAGTTACCACTCATTGGGATTGAAATAAAGTGTCTAATTTGTGAAGTAACTTTGTTAGATGGGAAGTTCATATATTGCCACCATTGTTTGGTGGGTTATTTTTAGTATATTTTCATATGTTCGTTTAATAATATCGATAATAATTATTACTTATACCATTTTGTAATGCCTCTAATATTACTTGATGTTTCTTTTCCAAAGATTGTCTCATCTCTAATTGCTCTGTGGAAAATTTCAAAACAGAAATTGTTTCTCATTACAACTCTAAGGCCTCGACATTTAATCATATCACTAAAATAACTTGGGAAAAGAAGGAAAACAGGTCTTGTCTTATCTTACTTAGAAAAACAGTTTTATAAAATGTTTATTAAGTAATTCTTTAAAACAATATACTAAAAAAAATATCAAAAGAAATTATTTATTTTATATTTGTCTGTAATTTATCAATAACTGTATTATATAATTTAATATTGTTACTCAATGACTCATTTTTTTATTTTATTTAGAGACTTAAAAGTTAAAATATAATTTAAACTATAGTAGATGTAGTGCAGCAATGAAAATCAGTAAAAATTTTGTTAATCAGTGTTTATATCTCCTTTCAGTTCACAAAAACTTAATAGATAGAATATAGGCCTATCATTATGGCTCTATTCTTTTCTTTATATTTAAAATTTAATACATTGAATCATTACAATTTATTTACCAGCTTCTATCTCCAAATGCTTCATCTTCAGTTGTTCGTGAGCTGTCTTCTCTTTTTCATTATCTTTATTCAAATTTTTTGTAAGAAAAGTTAATATATTTATTTTGAATTATTAGATCTTGACTGTAGCCTAATAATAATCTTATAACAAGTTATACAAGACGTGGGGGGGGGGGGACTAATTATTTTTTAAAAATATTTTTTAAATATCATAACATGTTACAGTTAAAGAAATTTGACCAGAAAAAAAAATAAAAAAAAAAAAAAACAACTAAAAATATTTTCAAAAATCTTAAAAATGTAGCCTAATAATAATCTTATAACAAGTTATACAAGACGTGGGGGGGGGGGGACTAATTATTTTTTAAAAATATTTTTTAAATATCATAACATGTTACAGTTACAGAAATTTGACCAGAAACAAAAGTAAAAAAAACAACAAACAACTAAAAATATTTTCAAAAATCTTAAAGATATATTATATAAAATGTCTGATCAAATTAATTTTTGTTTAAACTAAATGGAGACACTAATGTTACTGTAGAAGTTATTAAAAAAAAATTTTCAATAAGCATTTATAATATATTTTTTAAAATTGATTCTTAGGACTTATAACCAAAGGTAATTAATTTTTGTTATATTTGTATAGCCTTTGAAAAATTATAAAAAATAATCCACCAATCCCTGTGGCACTATTGCCCAACTAGGGCTTTGGCCTGCCTCACTACTTCCTTCCACTCAGACCTAACTAATGCTTTTCTTTTCCATGCTTGGATTCCCAACGCATCATTCATCCATCTAAGCCTAGGCCTGCCTTTGAGCCATTTTCCTCTGGAGTGTCGGTGGTGCACCCTTTTCACTCCCCTGTCATTTGGCATTCTCTTTAAGTGTCCTGCTCAGCGTAGCCTACCCTTTTTTATTTCTGCTACTATTGTGGGATCCTGATATACACTGTACAATTCATGGTTGGTTCATATTCATCCTTTTTTAGACCATATATTTTCCTGAGAACTTTCCTCTTCCATGTGTTTAATAGGTTTTCTGCTGTTTTTTGTTAGGGTCCAAGTTTCCCTTGTGTATGTTACTGATCTTGACTTTTCAGTATATTGTGACTTCTGAAGTATACCCTTTTTCTGAGCAATATTCTTTCTTTTATTTCTGTTAGTAATTAAATTCCTTTCTTTCCATTCATTAAGCATTTTAGGTATTTGAATTTCTTGACTTTTTCAAAAGTGTGGTTTCTAATTTTAATTGTTTCATCTGTCTATTCTTCTCTTAACGCAGTCATGAATTGCCTTTTTGGTTCTTAACTTCCAGCTCTGCTTGAAGTCATGCAGCTCCTGATTCAGTAAATGCTTTTGATATGTCTTTAATTCTTTTCGCTAGCAGTGCTATGTCTTCAGATTATGCAAGATGCTGAATGGGTTAATTGTAGAAAGTGCTTATTGGTTATGGGTCTAGGGTTTCCCTCAAAAAGTGTCCTACTATTATTGTTTGGGTGTCAATTTGTATGTTTCTTATTTTATGTAAAAAGAACCATAAAAGATAGTGAATCTCCTTGTCTTAGGTCTCGTATAATCTCAAATTCTCTTAAATCTTTGCCCTGAACCTTGATTTTTGCTTTTTGAGATATTGTTGTGGTAACATATCTCTATTAGGCATCTGATGGTGAAAATCTGATCAGTCGTTGATCTGTTTTGTCTGAATCCACATTGGTAGTCACCTATTATTTGTTCAGTGCCTGGTTGTAGTCTTTTGGCTTAATTAGTTTTGTCTGTATTTTGTATGTAACATTTAATAGGGAAATCCCTCTGCGGTTTTTGCATTGAAGTTTGGAGCCTTTCTTCTGTATTGGGGTTATTAATGCAGCTTCTCATTCTGTTGGAATTTTCTCTTCTTGATAAATTTTAGTCATAAGTTTATGTTTCTGAGTGTGTAGTTCTCTTCCTCCACATTTAATAAGTTCTGCTGTGATGAAGTCTTTTCCAGGTCTTTGTGGTTTTTCATACAATTGATTACTTCTATAGTTTCTTCTCTTTGATTTCGGCCATTGTAAGTTATGGGGTTTATCTTCGCTTTTATTTAATCCTTACAAGTAGATGGTCAGAGTCTGCATCGGCTCCTCGAAAGCTTATTTGGTCTAATATGTTTGATCCATGCCTCCGATTGATCAGAACATGCATGGCCAATTTGGTTGTGGGCGATTCCATCTTGTGAGTTCCAAGTAAATTTATGTATATTTTTGTGTTGAAAATTTGGGCTGCTAACTGTCATCCCTTTTCCTGAAACAAAGTCTATGAATAGGATCCCATTGTCATTGGATTTTATATGTGGACTCTCCTTGCCAATAGTTTGTATTTTTACTTTTTCTTTCACCGTTTTGGAAATAAAGTTGCCAATCACTATTTTAATATCATGTTGTGGTGCCTCATCGTAGATCTTATCTAGTGTCTCAAGAAAAGATATTTATCTGACCTTCTTTATCTTCAGTGAGGGCATGAACATTTATAAATGCTATATTAACAATTTTTCTTCACACATGCAAAGAGCACAATCTTTATTATGGTTTAAAACCTATGAGTGCACCAATAGCTTCTTTCTTCACAAAAAAATCATGTTCCAGGAGGGTTTTACCGCTTTAAAATATGGTACCGTTTTTTTTGACTTGAGGATTTCTGCATTTTTTCACCCAAATTTCTTGCAATACAGGAATAAGAGCCAAAAAAAGATCAGTACATTTTTTGTGGGCCCCATAATATATAGAAGAAGACGAAGAATAGAGAACTTATATTTAAATAATCTTTGTATGAGATTAGCTAAGGCACCTGCCCTAAACAGGCTTAGTACGTTCCATGTCACAATCTGAAAATCATGTCCATATCCAGGCATTGGTCGATATCCATTAGAATTAGTCCATGTTTTATTATGTTGTTTGGCTTTTTTCACATGTATATTTTTACATGGCCAGGTTTTTAGCCCTGCACACAACCATCATTTAGGGCTGCCCCTTACAGTAGCCTTTATTTTCAGGCAAGGTTCCTTAGCCTTTGTGGATCCCTCCACTTCTTACAAGGCAGTAGGTTCTGATTTTGGTCCTTCCCGATATTTATTCCCTGGTACCCGCCATTTCTGTGGGTTTGCCCTATCCACCACCCATGCAGGCAATCGACAGAAGATCAGTATCTACTCACAAGTTTGCAATAATTCGAAACATAAGTTTTACAAAACTGTAGTTGGCTGTTAGATTTTTTTAGATTTATAACTAAGCTATTAATGGACTATAAGAAATTCGGGATTATAATAGCAGAATTTGTAAATAAATGTACTTACAAATTCTGCCCTAAATCCCCCCTCCCCCAATTACCCAAACATGGTTGTATGTAAAAATCACCTAAATCAACCAATGCCCCTTAGTGTGTTGATGTATGGAAGACCCTTAATCTATATAAAAACAATCATCCTATCACTAATGCAATTATGCTCCTTACGTACCATAAATTAAACTCAAACAGCTTAATTAAAAATTCTGAAAAAATAAAGGATTTAACTTTTTAAAAATTAAAACCTTTTTAAGTCTTACCTATTTTCAAAATCTCTATTTTTTCTTGATATTCCTTTTCTAAAGCTTGCTTTATCTCTAATTTTTCTTGATATTCCTTTTCTAAAGCTTGCTTTATCTCTAATTTTTCTTGATATTCCTTTTCTAAAGCTTGCTTTATCTCTAATTTTCCTTGACATTCCTTTTCTAAAGCTTGCTTTATCTCTAATTTTTCTTGACATTCCTTTTCTAAAGCTTGCTTTATCTCTAATTTTTCTTGACATTCCTTTTCTAAAGCTTGCTTTATCTCTAATTTTCCTTGACATTCCTTTTCTAAAGCTTGCTTTATCTCTAATTTTCCTTGACATTCCTTTTCTAAAGCTTGCTTTATCTCTAATTTTTCTTGACATTCCTTTTCTAAAGCTTGCTTTATCTCTAATTTTCCTTGACATTCCTTTTCTAAAGCTTGCTTTATCTCTAATTTTTCTTGATATTCCTTTTCTAAAGCTTGTTTTATCTCCGATTTCTCTGAGGAAAATGTTCAAAACAAATATAAAGCCTTCTACTTCTACATAGGATTTAATTCAAACTACTGAATTAATGTAAAATCAATATTTAAAAAAACAACAACAAAGATCACAACTATGCAGCTGAATAGTTTGCTGATCCTAAAATTATTTACACATTATGTTGTTTTGTTTGTTTTTTTAAGAATACATTTATTGTGGTTCTTTTTAACAATGTTACAAAATTAATCATTCAAATTATTTTTTCCAAAAGTATGCTCATACTGGCAACTACAGCATCGTCATTAATAAAAAGAATAAAGAAAACAAAAACAGAGCTCTTGCACCAGCCAGTGTTAGGAAACCCTTACAAAGAACCATTAAAGGGAAAGAATCTTCAAGTTGTGGAAATGTTTACATATATATAGACTGACCCCCATCCACGATCAGCAACAATAGATACTATTAATAACACAAATGCCAAAAGAAATGTATAATTAGGAAGCATCTGCAGTGGTGTCTGTGAGAGAAGGGGTCTCAATCTTATCACCAAGATGAATGTATACATATCAGTTGTACTTACAACTCTCTTTTGGATAGTATGCAGCAGACATGCTAGAAAGCTACACCATCTCTACTTACAATGTTTGAGGAAAAGAGCCTAATGCATGAGTCCTACAACAGACTGATTTTCTAAACATCCACACATTCGTAAAAAAGGATAGCCCAGATGGACCAGAAGCATCTGACTACCTTAAAAATTTATGTACTGTGAACTGACCAACAGAAAGCGGTCTGTTGGAAGGCATAAAAACTGTTGCAAAGCAGTCTTTCAAATCCATGAACATCGACCAGAATTTATGGGAACACTTGCCTCGGATTGCACAAATTTCACAGAGTAAACCGCCCAAAGATAAAGCATATCAATCAAAATAAAAATTACGCTAAAACCCCTTGTACCCAAAACAATTGCAGGAGAGCTCTTCTGGCAGAAATTGGGCTTGCAAGCAACTTGTGTAATAACTTTTGAATCTGGCATTGGGCATTGGTTATCATTGCATGGGGAAAAAGGAACAACAGCAAGATATAATATATATATATTGATTTACCAGCTTCAATAATCTTGGTCTTGGCTTCAAAATCATCACAGGACTTTCTCTTCAGGTCACATTCTTTTCTTACATTTTCTAATTGAGGAAACAAAATAAAATCATGGTTTTACTACATAATAGCTATTGAACTGTATGTCAACTGATATTTTTTAAATGTATATAGATAATCTTTTTTTAAAAATGTAAGAACCGAACTTGGATTAATCCTGATAAAAGTCTTAATTTGCTGCGCGGAAGCGAGTATTGAAATACATTTTATTAAAAAAGTTTTCTAAATATTTATTCTAAGGAGAGCCAAAAGTTACCAACATAAATAGAATTTTAAATCAAATTACCTAATTGTGAGGTTAGTAATCTAATTTCATCCTTTAATCCTCTCAAAGCATTTTTCTCATCTGTTAAGAAAGTAAAGAGAATATTATTAAGATTAATAAAGTTCTGATTTCACAATACCAGTACTTACATTCAATATGTCCTACATTTTTAATAAATTAAATAAATTCCTTTATGAAGGTAAATAATGTCATTTAATTTTTCCTCACTGACTGGTAAATCAAATTTTCACATCCATTCTTTTTGGGACTTTAATAATGCATTGAAAAAAATCACACTTTTTAAAAGATTTGATTCTTGTTATATTAAATAATAAATTTTAAAGGACTGTATACCCCAAACTAAATTTATTAAAGAACACAGCTTTTTAATTATTGTGTTTTAGAAACTTAAAGAAAGAGATAAAGGATTGCTTAAAATCAGATTAACTTAATTTTCTATTCTGTTAGACACATTTTAGAAAATCAATAACTGTTTGGGGTAAAACATTTCTACCCTTTAAAAAATGTTTACAAAGTGAGGAATTAATGAAAATTAAAACTAAATTTTTTTCAGTTATATAATTTTTCTTTGTAATTTTTTGGACATACTTCCACCTTCATAAGATGATAGTGCAGCTTCTGTATTTTTTGCACATACTTGAATGAATTATGAGATTAGTCTTGGAGTAACAGTAGCTGCTGTACGTCTTTGCAAAGTGGACCATGACTGCTGTTTTTCTTTGGCTTTCCGCATTGCTGTTATTGATACAAAGTCTTTGTTTCATGCATCCTGTTCCTGTTGAATTACCATGTACACTGCCAATCGACATGTCAAACCATGATCAGTGATACTCTCCTATTTGCCAATTTTATTTTGGTTTCCCTTTTGTTTCTTTACATATGCCTTTATTGCACAGTAACAGCCATCCAATATGTCTTGCACCCTCTGCCGATTCTCTGTACAGCAGGTCCTTAGGAATACAGTCTTTCTCCAATCTCTTTACATGGTCTTGCCAATGAAGGGGCCTCCTCCTAAGAGTGGAGAAGATGCTGCACAGTATGGCACATTCAATGACCCATGTGTTAGGGAACTTTGTCCTGCCATCAAATTCAAAGAATTTGTAATAGACATCTTAAGTGGAAGCTATTTAGTTTCCTCTCATGACTGGTCCACAATTCTGTGCCATAGAGGAACGTATTGAGCACACATGCCTTATAGAAGCTTACATTTTCACCTTTAATTACTTTAGAATTGTTGCACACCTGCTTATAGCTACTGCTGCTTTTGCACCCATCATATTCACCTCTCAATGGAGATCCAAACTATGTCTTTCAACAGCTGCCAGATTATATCTCTCAATATATATGTTGGAGTGGACTGTGTTCCTTGAGACATGACTTTTAGTTTCTTTAGACAGCTCAATCTCCTTACAGGCATGGAAGAGGTCATCTACTAAATACTGGAGTCCACCTACCATGTACGATGTTAAGGTGGCATCATCAGTGAACAGCAGTTCATTAATTAGCAACTATTTTTTTACCTTAGTCTTTGCATAGAGGCAAGTCATGTGGAACAGCCTGTTATCAAACCTGGTATGGATGTACATTGTAAACTTCATCTTCAAAGTTTCTGATGGCAAACTCAAGGAGCACTGAGATAAGAATTTTGGTGCACATCCACAGCCTTTATCATTCCGCTTGTCGAGTATGAGCGTTCATTAGTAATTGTTGCGACTGAATATTATGTTCATTAGTTGTTGAACGCTTTTCCCGCGCTTGACTCTTATAGTTATTGAACGCTCTTCCCGCCATTGTCTCTATGACATATTTTTATGCTGATTCGTGACGTATTGTCTATGCTGTATTGTGACGTATGTTTTAGTCCTGCGGCAGTCTTGAGTGGAACTTTGGAGTGTTAGCATGTGTATTATTTATGTCTGATTAGCGAGCTTCGCTATAATCAAGTGTTATATGTATAATATTTACTAAGACATTAAAGGTATAATTATTAAGAAAAGGAGTTGAATTTGTTCAGTGATAGTAGGAATAGTACAAAGCATTCAACGTGTGAAAAGAACTTGACGAATATAATCAATCAACCGCTCCTGACTGGAAATGACTCAGAGACAGTGCTGCTGAAAATGACTGTGTTGTGCATCTGTTTGTAAATGTCATTATGATTAGGTCATCATGGGCCATAACATAACTAAATATATGACATTCAATAATTTAAATGTCTAAATACTGACCTTTTTTTAATGCATCTAATTTTTCTTGATGTTCCTGCTCTAAGGCGTGCTTCATCTCTAATTTCTCTGAGGAGGTTTTTCAAATTATTATTAATATAACTAACACTACATTATGAGCTTAACATTAATAAACTAGTAATCATAGCCATGAACATGGGCCCCCGCAGCGGGCGGGGCAAGGGGGGGCACTTGCCCTTCCCTGGATTGATTGGATAAAAAAATTTTAGACAGAAATAGACAAAAAATTTATTAAAGTAAAGAGAAAATAAAGAGAAAGTATCTAAGCTGATGTCCTGTCCGTTCGTTCACCTTACAAATACGCTACAGTAAATTAAAACTATATTAAAACATTACTAAAAAATTCCCCCCCCCCCCTGAAAAGTTAATTGATTTTTTTTGCCCCCCCCCCCTAGAAAGTTTTTCATATTTTTACGCAAATAGGTTTTTTTTTTTTTTTCTAATTGTAAATGACTGTTAAATTTACACAAAAATGTTGGATTTGATTTGTTATCAAGGCTGCAGATAAATTGAAAAGGTTAAATAAAATTGTTTATTATTATCAATGTTTTTAAAAACTTAATGATAATCTGTGCCCTTTATGGTATAGACAATGCTTTTACCTGCCTCTGCAACTTTTATCTTGGATTCCAAATCTTCCCGGGATTCTCTCTCATTGTCATAATCTCTTCTTAACTTTTCTAATTTAGGGAAGAGATAAATGTTATATCTTTTGCAGTAAATGAATTGAATTATTGTTCTGCTTTAAACGAAAAAAAAAATCCAAATAATAAATTACAAACATTTATAGAATTGATGTAAAACTGATAAAAGATGACAGTAGCCTGGATACACAATTATTTTTAACAATCTTATTTTCTGTAACATGAATTTGTGAAAGTTAAATTAAGAAAGATATTAAAATCTCTTTAAACTTCTTAAGGCTTACTTTTAAGTTATTTACAAATCAAGAGCATGGATAACAACATTATACTTATTCATTTTACATTGTTTTTTCTATTACTCTTTATTACTTTATTCAAAGTTATCATATTCCAATATCCAACCATTTGTTATACATTTTTAAATGAAGCCATGTTAAATATTTTCCCGAAATACTCCAGTTAAAAATTGAGTCAGATGGGCTTTTAAAATATGATAATATATATATTTTTACTCTCTGCTCTATAGGCAACCAAAATAAAGTCCCTATAGCTGCACTAAATGGGATTTTTAAAAATACCTCCAACTGTATTTGTTGGATAATATTTTTTGTTTGTTATAATGATACCTATAGTATTGATCTAAATATGATGTTATATATCTTTAAAACCGATTTAAAAACACATCTATTTCGCAAACACCTTCTGGGGTGATGCTATCTACCATCTTTTTCAGTTAATGTATTATTGGCTTGTGTTGCTTATGGTTGAAACGGGATGAAAGACTTAGACTGGGTATGCTCGTATGTAGCTTTATATTGTTGCGTCTGTTTTTAAATGTGGTAAATTTTAGATCGTTTTTATTTCTCTTTTTAATATGGTTGACTTTGTACCAGGCTTCGAGCGTTTGGGGATGAAGCGTGTTTTTCAAATAAACTTTATTATTATTATAAATATATATATATCGGCCCCTATACATAATAGCCAAATACACGATTATGTTGCATTTTTGAATTTTAGTTTTAAAATAATTTATCATATTCTTTTAAACATACGGAAATGTGCTTGGAACTATTTTTTTAAAGAAAATGCATTTCATTGCGTGGTCAACTTGGGGAGACGGACCTTAGAAATTTAAAATAGATCAGCATATGAAATGGGATATGATCATAATATTAAAAAGAGATCAGGGGTGTGCAAAAAATTAGCAGTGGCATAGGCCTACCTATCAAGGTTATAATTTTATTAATGCTGCTATTTTTTTTTTTAATTTAAAGACATATAAGTTGTTTAACAATTTTTTAAATGTTCAGGGTGAGAAAAATGGTTGGGTAGGCCTACATATATATGTCTAAAATAACAATTCTCAAACCCAATGATGTTAGAAATTTTAACATCTAGACATAGATAAAAAATTTTTATTAAATAAAGTCTGATGTACAATTTCTTAAATATAAATGTGAAAGTCTTGGAAAAGTGTCCAAATTTTTTTTGTGTGGTTAAAACTCAATTCAGTTACATTCATTAAAAATGGGTTTTAGATGTTGATACTGCGCATAAGCAAGTGGGAAGTAATGCAATAGGCCTTTCATAAAGGTAAAGACCCTGTCATATCTTCTATTTTTGAACAAATTAATGAAGGGAAATTAAATTATTTATTAAAATATTCATAATTGATATGGCTGACTTCCCATAAATTATCAGTTAGGCTTACCTGATTCCTGCCTCAGCTTTTCTAAACTCTGTGACACATCATTTTTAGAAACTCCTAAGTAAAATTAACAGAGGTAGATAAATACCAAAGAGTTAGTTGTTCCTTAGTTTTCCTATCAAAAGCGACCATAATTTTTTCATCTACCATGTTTTAAACAGCAGTGTATGTTATTGATAAGTTTTTATAAATGTATTTTAAGACAAGAAATATAACAGATTTACAGACATAGGGTTTATCTTTTAAATAATTTTGGCATTAAAAAATATTTCATAACTCCTTTATCATTACTAAAATTTCCTATCTAATTTATTTTTGTCATCTCACACCTTCCATCATCTTAGCTTCAGTTTCCGTGCGAACTTTTTTCTCATGCTCATAGTCTTGTTTTAAAAGTTCTGCCAAAAGATTAAAAAATGGAAATCTTAAAATTTCATATACAAATAAATATGACGAGTCAGTACAAATAAATATAAATAATTTTATTAAGTTTAAATAATGTTGTTTATTAGAGTAAAAATGATATTAGTATTAGGCGAGAGAGAGACTTAATAATTAAATAATCAAAGCCATATTTTACTTTTATCAGCTTTGGCAATGGATGAAGGCTTCAGAGAAAATAGCCATCAGAAAATAGTTTTAAGGATTAAAATAATCATTTGTCTAGAAAAGTAAATTACAGCTGAACTAAATGTAAAAGTATTTGAGATAATTTCATTTTAGCACTTTGCACTTACAGGCCATCTATAGACCCCTAAATGATGTTACACACCTAAAGGGGTCACATATTTATGTCAATCTATTATGAGTGTGTTTAAATTGTAAATTGTGTAATAAATTATAAATATGTGTTGTTGCAACAAAAAAAAGGGGAATGAAACTAGTTATGAAACTAGTGTGACACATTTATGAATGGCATTAAATCAAAGAAAAGTATGAACATACTTAGCTTTGTTTCAAGGTTGTTTTTTTCTTCCATACGAATTTTATTGATAGTAGCTTGATCTATGTAAAATATTGATATAAAACACTTTATAGCAACAGTAATTGATTGATATAGATATTTTAAGTTATGGTTTTATCAACATATATAAATACTACTATGGGTTGATTCAAATGATAATTGTCAAATAAAAAAATTAAAAAAAAGAAATTAAATGTAATTAATCTTAGTGGAATGCTAGAATAACTGAAATTCAATCATGAAATCCGATGCAATGTTACTCAACAATAATTTTAGCATGATGACTAAATGATGAAAAGTATATTAGTTAGAAGAGAATCAAAAGAATACACACTGAGAATTTTAAAATAGATTACTGAACTTGAAAAAATTAAAAGAGTTTTCTTACCTGATTTTAAATTATTTAACTGTTCTTCACATTTTTTATATAGCTTTTTTTCTTGTGTGTGTGATCCTTCTTCTTTCTCTGTGAATATATTTGAATGAAAATAGTCTAATCCTTTTTGTGTTTTATTCACATTTCAAAAATAACTTTAAACCCATTTTTTATTTATTTGTTTGGCTTGTTTTTTCAAAGTTTATTTTAATTTTATTAAACTATTTGTCCTGGTTATGATCTATAGTATGAATAGACTTAATAACACTCAAACTCATAAAGTAATAAAAGTGACGTAGAAAAATAAATTTTAAAACAACCACATACCAAGCTTTATTTTGAGGCGTTGATTTTCCTTGATAAGACTACTAGGTGCTCTGTCCTCTTTGATTACATAAATAAAATTATTCACAGATTTAAAGTCTTTTATTGCTTATAATTAATGCAAAAAAATTACAGTGAAATGGGGACTTTTTAATTGCAAAGAAAGAAAAACTGTTTTAGTTTCCTTTTTTATTTTAGTATAGAATGAATGCTTTCTAATTTTCTGTTGAAGATTGCATTTCATTTAGGAGTAATAGCCAACTAATTCAGTTGCTCAATGAAACTGATAAATAATTAGAAGCATTTCTGTAATGAAATATAAATGCATACAAAATACCTTTTTTCAGCACTTGACAATCATCTTGCTGAAATATTATTGAAAATTGTTTTAAATCGTTAGTGTTTTTGTTTTAAAAAGATTAACTTGGCTTTCATTTATGTTTTTAATGGAGTTTTGAAAAAACCCATTAATTTCTTCAAATAAGAAAATATGTTTTGTTTTTTAAAAAACTTTTTTATTGAAACCTAAACACAAATGGAATTTACTTTTAGGATTCTCATTTAAATGTAAAAATAAGGACTTAATTTTCTCATGAAAATGATTCAGTAAGAACACCATGTATGATGCACCAAAAAAGTAAACTTTTATGACTATTATTATGAAATTTATATTTCAATAAATTATAAATAAGTATTTCTGACCTCAATTTCAGGTTCCTGTAACCATTTTTCATTTAAATCATCTGAAAAATACAAAATAAAAAAGACTTGAGCTTCGAAAAATTGTATGACTTATTTTAACATTTCAGATCTTCAAAACAGTAATTTCACTAATAAATTTAGTAGACTTGTTTTATTTGTGTAAGTCAACAAATCACATTTTGACTTGAAATAAAATAATAATCATATTTTATAACCAATTAAATGATTAAGGTGTTTTTTCCATATCAAAATAATTAATTATACTATTTCAAAAAAATTCAGTGCAAAAAAAAAAGTCTGTTTCTATTATTTCCATGTTCCAAATTCTTTCCAAAAATTTTTTTAACAAAATTATTAAGTAGAAGTATATAATAAACATACTTATTCTATCTAAAGTCTTTTGTGACCGTTTTCTTTAGAACATTTAAGTTTTAAATTGGGATACCAAAATTGCTTATGGCACCCAATGACCGTAATCTGGCCTTGCACCTATTGTAAAACCCTTCCTTTGAAAATTCTTCTGCTACAAATGCTCAGTTTTGATTTGAAAGCATGTAACTTATATTGAGATTAAGGAAGAATCAAAAAGAATGCTTAGATATTTGAAGAGATTTGTACAGAACAAATCAGTGGAGGCAAAGTCAATGTGACTTTAAAAAAACTAGGGCAAAAGTATAGCTTTAAAAAACTTGGTTTTTCATTGCCTTTTATTAACTTTTCACAGTTAAATGCACATCATTCATGTGGCCCTAAACCAGTAAGGGGCCAATTAATTAAATAAAAATAAGCACAAAATATGATTTAGCAGTATTTAACTAATTAGGCTACCTCTCTTGTTCCGAAAAGCACTTGCCACATGTGTTAATTTAACATTTTCATCTTCAAGAACATCTAGTAAACAGTTAAACCAATTCTCATACATGGCAAGACGAGTTAACAGTTCCCTGCTTCTCTCTCTATCTCCATCTGTTATAGTAATTTTTTCCTGTAAAAGAAATGCGGATACAAAATAAACTATTGACCACTACTGAAATTAATTAATATTAATAAATATTTTCATCTACTACATCAATTTAATATAACTTAGATATTAAAAAGTTTAACAAAATCAAATAATTAATGGAGTTGGCCCATTTTAAACAAAATAATAAAATAAAATTTTCAATATTTTTAATATGTTTAGTACCAGTACATTGATTAATTTTTAAGTTTAAAAAATCTGGTTTGTTGCAATATTCATATAAGAAAAGTCTATTGTCCCTATAAACTTTAAATTGTTTTATTAATATTATTAGTACAAGGTATAAGGTAATTTGGAAATCTAAAAGTAAAAGGGTAAAATAAAATATAAATAAAAATAAGAATTATACACTGTAACACACTATACACATCTAATTTTGCTATTTATAATAACTTTGTGAAATTCTTGGTGAATTAATTCATTTTGATAGATAATGACAGTAAGAAGTATTTTAGATAATATTTCCTAAATGTTTTTATTTTTGAAAAAGTAAATAGCCTGTTTCTTTGAATTAGTTTATATTTCTAATCATTTTTATCTGATTTCTTTTTTTTTTTTTTATTGCAAAGTGCCAAAAAAAATTTAATGAAATTTTTAGGGATTAAATAATTTAGGAAAATTATTTTTAAAAAATTTATCTTAATTTTTTTTTTTTGAAAAATTTAATTGTCTTTTTTTTTTAATTTGTTTATATTTTTTATTATTTTTATTTGTTTTTTTTTTTTTTTTTTTAGTGCAAAGTGCCAAAAAGAATGTAATGAAATATCTAGGGATTAAATAATGTAGGCAAATTATTTTTAAAAAACTTATCTTAAAGCCTACATATTAACATATTTTTTCTGCCAAAGTGCTGCAATAATATTTTTTTTTTTAAATAATGAAATACTTACTTTATCCTCCTCTGTCAGAACTCTGAGATTATACTTGTGAAACACATGTATCACATTTTCTATTCTAATGAATTCCACAAACATTTCATTAATTGCAATTTTCAGTTGTGAATTATAAGTGGGATCTGTGTACACAGAATCCCTGGTATCCCTGCTGCAGTCACTCACTGGTATTTCCCATGCATTTCCCATTGCTTCTGGTTAATTACACCACTAATTAATTACATTTTATTGTGGAAATCTGTAAATGGAAAATATAACGTTTTCAAAATATTTGAAAATAAAAATTAATAAGTGATTGAGGCAAACTTGATGGGGTAAATTAAAAACTTAATATTTTTATTGATTTAGCCTGTAATATATGCCTACTCAAGTGTAAGTATTGAACCTAGTAAGTAGCTTTAAAACCAAAATTAATTAGAATAATTATTGTTGAAACTTACATTTACACGCCTTAGACTTAGCATATTATGTAGAGGAATATATTTTAAAAATTGATTTATATTATTGAGACCCCGAGTGGGTTTTTTTACCATATAAATTTATAATAATTATAAGTAAAAGTAAAGTCAAAGTTGTATGTATCCCAAGCCCAAGCCCAATCATATAATTTAGCTTTTTAAAAAATATTACAGGTTGCAGATTGAAATCTCGGTCTTTTTTACTTTTTTTTGTATTCAGACTAGGTTTGTGAATAATAATAAAAGTTATAAGACAATTATTATTTTTTTTTTAAATTTAAATTATGTAACCTTCATTTTTAGCGACTGTCCTTCACTGCCTTCAGATTATTGGGACTTTTAACCAAATTGTTACGGAAATTCCCGATTGACACCCGTATAAATATAAAATCCATAAGTAGACTATATAAATATAGGCCCTATACAGACATTTTTAGAATAATAACTTATAAAATTAATAAGGGGGCTCTTATTTACTGCGTTCTAAACTAAGACCATCCCAATAGGAATAGTGTGTGGTGTGGAGTTTAATCCCCATCAAGGCCTAGACAAGTAAAAACATCACCAGCACACAGAGCACAGAGTATCATTAGATGAAAATGGGAGTTCATGGGAGTCGCTATCCTTGGGTGGCAACTCATCTTTGCGAAGGAAAGCACTGAATTCTGAATTCAAAGCCAGAGATGAAACCCCCGTAGGTCGATAACATTCAAACAAATAACACGTCCGGCAGTTATTATTCAGTGGCGTCAAATCGTTGTAAATTATAGACGATACACAATTCCCCAAGCCCAACCAAACCCAATGAATCATTGAATGATGTTACACACGTCTGATTTAGTGCTTCTTAAAGATACAATTCAAGGGAGTGGAAAAATGTATTTCTAGCATTTAGGCTTTAAACCAGCGGTTGGGGGCCGTCCATTATTTAGGCTACGTTAACAACTTTTATAGAATTTTTGACCCCCGCCCCTTTCCTGTCAACAACTCAGTGGCGTAGCTAGGGGAGGGGGAATGGGCATAATTGCTGATTTATCATTTTCATCTTGCGGAACTGTTATACCAGACAAGTCAACATCATCTTCATCTTGCCATTCAGCACTTTAATAGAAGCATTGTCAGTGTGAGCAATGAGTGCCATAAACTCTCTCTGTCTCCTTGCAGCTACTTGCATTAGTCGAATCCTTTTTTGTTGAGGAGCAGGTGCTAATTTCTTCTGCATTGTCGGTGCTGTTGAACTTGCTATCTCAACATTTGTGATGCAAAATAGATGTTACAGATATTGCAAATCCGTTCAAGCAGCGATGTTATTATTATTACTTACTTTACTTTTCCATAATTCTCAAAATATCGTATTCCTACTCTATCAATATCATTTATCTTGACCGTACATGACTCTTGAACCTTGACCTTGTTCCATACCTGCAACATAATCGCAAACATACCGCCCTAGTCATTTGCAACAAACAAAATCACAGGTGGAGAGAGGCCAACTTTTGACTTCTCTTGCATTAACTAAATGTGCTAACATTCTGACCAGCCATCTGAAGTGCACAGACAGACACAAATCAAATAAATCTTATATTGTTAAAAGCCTAAATATTATATAACTATTTACACTCATTAATTAAATTGGTAAAAATAATGCAATAACCAGTTTATGTTTAAGATTAAAATTTCAATAGAGAAAAAATCATTGTTGACGTCAACTAATCTAACCCCTCCCTCCTTGTCAACAGCTGTCAATCATTTACAACCCCTCCCCCTCCCCCTACTTTGTTGACATAATTAAGGACGACGCCTTGGAGAACAAGGGTAATTTTTCAGAAATAGGGTTAATTTACCGAAATAGAGTAAAAATTCCGAAATAGGGTAAAATTGAAAATCTTAAGGGTAATGAGGGCTTATTTATTTATTTATTTATTTAGGCATTTTTATATAGCGCTTATCATAAAGCTCTAAGCGCTTTACAATTATTAAAACATGTAAACTAAGTAAAATAAAAATGAGACACTAGGATAGTAACTACTATTCTATAGAAACAATGAAAATGGCTATAAAAAGAGGACACTTTGACACTTCAGGATTAAGCCGAAACAGAAAATGAGGTAGGGCAAGGAGGGTGCATCACAGGTCATAGGCGGACCTAAACATTTATTAAATTTTATTTTTAAAGAGTTGTTCTTTTTTCCTTCCAATACTGCATCTGGCCTGTGTCATCACAAAACCCGACCAATGACTTGTCGTTTCGAGTGGTTCAGCACCTAGTGCTCACCTCTCATCTTGTATGCGGCATTTCTACCCAGTGGCCCATTTTATCTTATGCTCAGTGGCGTCACTTGAATTGGTTTCACCTAGTGGGGTAAACTCATGGTCTCAGCTCATCTAAACTACAGGATCAACCCGAGACAGAAAATGAGGCAGGGCAAGGAGGGTGCATCACAGGTCATAAATAGGCTGACCTAAACAGATGGGTTTTAAGGGACTTTTTGAAAGTGGACGAGGTTTCACAATGACGGATGTGGTAGGGGAGCTGGTTCCAGAAAGTGGGCGCATGGAAGTAGAAGGAGCGTTCACCTATGATCTTAGTTTTGGTTCTTGGGATTGAGAGGGTTCTATTGTCAATTGAAGAGCGTAATTGTCTTGTGAGGATGTAAGGAAGCAACAGTTCAGAGAGATAGACAGGAAAGTGAGGGTCAGTGAACGAGTTGAAGCATAGATTGGCAGAATTGTACTTGATGCGAGAGGATATTTGAAGCCAGTGGAGTTGCCGCATGTGTGGTTGAATGTGGTTATGTTTCTTTGATTTAAAAATGAGTCTGCATGCTGAGTTCTGTGCCTTCTGAAGTTTGTCTATGTGGTGTTGTCACTTGTGTCATTCAACCACTCCGTATTTATAATCTATTCCATAGAAAATTCCAGACGTATTCCACAATTTTCTATCAAATACGAGTCAAGAAAAACAGACGATAGATTGGTTTGTGGTAAGGAAAATCCAAGGGAGTAAGCCACGCCCAATACTAACGCAGGCGAATTTGGGTCTGCTTAAGGTCTTTCAACAGGATAGGATTTAAAAAGAGTAAAATATGGAACGCCTATATATAACACTACCCATTGTGAGGATGTCTACCCCTTGTAAGGATTCCCGGGTGAGGTCTGCAGCCCCTCCCCCGCGCTCCTAGTAACGCTACTGCTCGTGCTGGAAATCTCAAGAGAGGAAAACGTTTTCAAAATTGCTCACTAGAAGGCCTTCAAACAGTTGCTGTCTTTTGCAACAAACTACCTTTGTGATCAGGGAGTTTTCATTCAACCCTGATTTTAAAAATCTCCAAAATTGATGCCATTGTTCATTGTATAAAAATTAAATATAATTTCTACAAAGTTTGAGGTGAACATATTTTTTTTCTCACAGACATCCTTTTATTCCATAATGAGGATTTTAAAAATTTTATTTCATCTAAATTATTTTGTACTTTTATATTTATAATTGTGCGATTTTCAAAGGCTATAAATAGATCCAATAAAACATTATAAAATCTAAATAGTCTATGATTTTTTTTTTCTTTCAAACGAGGGCGTAAAACAAAATATTTTGGGTAAATGGCTCAAAGAAGGTTACCAATCCCTGCCTTAGGTTGTCAAAAATATCCAATGTTAGCAATATATATATAGCCTACTTCTTACGTAACTAGACAGTGTGTCATTTTAAAACTGTATAGCCCTGTTATAATTCAGAAACGTTGAAAAATATCCTTTTTAACTTAGAAGTATAGAAGATTGGGTGAGAATCTTGACCACGCCCCCCCCCCCAAACCCGATCTTGTAACCTCCAAAGTATGTCACACTTTTTAAAAAACAGCTAACTAACAATTAAATCTAAAACACACTTTATTATTAAAATTAGGCATTACGAAGTGACATAGTCTTTCAGAATACATCCATCACAGCAGAAAGTTAAATATGAATGATAAAAAGGATATATAAATCTTATGATGTCATATAAACTCCACCTTGTTCATCTTTGACTTCTATTGCTGCCCACAGATACTACTTACCAGCTAAGTGCTATTTCTTATTTTTATAACGTTTTTTCTGTTGTTTTGTTCGCTGACGAAGGCTTTCTGCCGACACGTTCGCTGTTTTGTTGAGTTTAATTTTTCAGGTTTAACCATACTCTGTTTTACTCATTTTATTTTGTTCATCTTTGCAAATTTATTAGAGGCCGAGAATAGGCCTATATCAATCAATCGTCTGCTTATGACATATAAATGTTATTTATTCATTCATCACTTGTCATCATCACTTATAGAAAGGACAATGTCTTTTGTTTGACCTACCTTTTTAAATGACCAATAAAGGGCCATTAGCAAACAAAAGGCAAACTCTCCCTCCTCCCGTTATTGTATACTCCCCCCCCCCTCCTTTTTCTGTGTACGTACAAATTAGCTTTCCATTATAAAGCTAATATCAATAAAGCTTATGTAGAATTTAGAAGGCCTGTAGACTGAAGTATGCCTGTAGACTAAGGTAATCCTTTATGTAATGACTTTTACAATACAGGTGATAACTTTGTTCATAAAAAGTTAAAATAAAATTTAAAAAGAAAAAATTACAATCTTTATTAAATGTTTTTAAAACAAACTTTTTTGTTCTATCAAAATGACTATTAGTTGAAAAGAAAAAATTAGAATAAAATAATTTAGTCTGTTGATCAGAATAATTATTTTTAAATCCCGGTAATGCAGTAATTAGGTCAGGCCTACACAACATACGATCCCAGGGCCATATGTGGCCCGCCAGCACCCATTTTGCCGTCAGTGAAGAAACGAAAAATTCTTCATTATTATTATTTTCTTAATAGCTTTTCCCCCTTTCCCATTTTCTTGCGGCCCGCTCAAGTCTTTCATAAAGTATTGCATTTACAATTGATTTGTGTGTGCGACTTTTGGTGTACACATCTATCTGTCAGTGTGAGCAGTAATTTATGTCGTTGGAGTTTTCTGTGCAAGATAATCTGTCATGTGCGCATTTGACAAGAAAACATTTTTACAGCTTTTATGAGGTTAATTTTTAGAATTAGTTACTATCCGTTCAAACAGGAGCTGCCATTTTATAAGATGAGCTGGTAGAAAATTTTACAGAGTCTTCTAAATTCAATTAAGTTATAATTACAATGTTGACAGGATAATGTTACATATTGTAATACATGTGTCTAAATTTACATATGTTTATTTATTCTTTTTATATTATTACATTGGAGCATTAAAATTTGTTTAGCTTTGTCTGGCTGGAGGTTTACCTACTAACACAAAAAAATATATAAAATTTAATCCTATTTCCATTTTCCAACATTTCCAAAATATAAGAAATAAATATCACAGGCATATCAAAATGATGTCAGTGTTGTCAAATTTAGTTTTAAAACATTGCAATGTCAGCAAATGAAGTGTTTCTGGAATATAGAAAAAAAATTGAATAGCATTTAGTATATATATATAGCAGAATTGAATAGAAAAATAATTATGAAAATATATTTACTGTCCATATATGAATATGACTTGGTTGAAGTTTTACTGCTGCAAAAAACCTACTTGTACAAACAGATTTATGATCCTGTGGACTACTCTATTTACATATGCAGAGGTTTAAATTGTCAAGGTTTAGTGTCCCCCTCATATATATTTCCCTTACAAGGATCTTGTGTTTTCAAAAAGCTTAAAGGGACAAATACAATCACTGATAAATAATTTATAATTTCAAAAATATATAAAACTTCTAGAAACGCCTGTGCCAACTATTCAATGGTAAAACTGAATTAATTGGAATGAAGATTAAAGATCTGAGCAGCCCCAAATGAAATGAATGTCACCCTGAGGTCCTTTTGTGGTTCATTTAAGACCATGGCCACAATGGCTGTTTGATCCTGCTTTAGCATTTCCAGATCAGTGCCAAGCTTAACCTATGAAATCTGTGATATAGGGGCATGGGTGGCTAAGGTAAATAGAAAGTCCAAAAAAGCAGCAATGTTTTATGACAAAAATGGAGTTTGTCCCCATCGAGTAAGCCAAGGCTATATATAGCTTTCTCAGACTCCACCAGAGTTTGGATAAGAATTGGGCGCAGAGGCTTAAATAATATGTCAATTTCTGTTTTAAAAATATAAATAACATTATTTATTTTTTTTAAACATCTTCCTTGATAGACTATAAGTTATAACAAATGTTATTTTCATCATATTGTAGTTGGGGTGTGGGGTGGTAAACTTATTAAATTAGTTTACTGAGTTTTAAAAAATTTGCTTGTCAGAGGGGAAAAAAATGAATTTCTATTTAAGGAAAATATTGCTGATAAATTGTAAAACTATTTAAATGAAAAAGTCAATGAATAAAGAAAATTGAAACTTTATTTAAAGATCGACACTTCACTCAATTCTTTGATGATTATTAATAATTCTGGTATGGAATATTGTTCATAGTGTTTATTTTTTTGCAACTGACAGGCACCCTAAAAACTTACCATTTTTTGAAATCCAAAATCTGTTCTTGGATTTGTCTACGAAGATTCAATTCTTTATAGTAGTTTATCTTGAAGCATTCTAAAAAATAGAAATTTGTTTTTAACAACAAAATTTTATTTCAATAATTAAGTTTAACTTCTTAAGAAAATAACTGATAGAAATTTTGTTAAATTTTATATCAGGCTCCCAGTGTTTTAAATCTGAAACATAAAAGGCCATGTATTTTTCAGAGAAAGTACTTTAATTATCTTACCTATTTCTTCCTTTAATCTTGCAATGTTTGAATTGTACAATTCAGCATTTTCTTCAGTTTCTATGACAGAAGTAACAGAGCAGAGGAATTTATTTTAAAAATATTTTTTTAGGAATAAAATACAATTTAAAAAAAAAATATCAACTGAATGAAAGCTCGTCTTCTCTAGGCTTCCACATTTTGAAACAGTTAGTGAATAATGCAAAAATTAACTGCCCCTTTAAAATTATTTTTAATGAATTAATTTCAAATAACCTTATCATTTAATTAAAGCCAGGATGGGCAAGATGTGGCCCACAGAAATGCATAATCCTGAGTGCAAGACCTTAACGGCACTGGATTATTAGTTTTGTAAAGTGTAAAAAATTATACAGATTACCTGTAAAGGCCTTTGAAAATTAATAAACACTTTGTAAAATTTTCAAAATAGAGAAGAAAAAATAATAATTACAGAAAATTTAAACATTATTCTGCTGCTTATTTTGGAACTAAGAGTGATGGGGAATTTTTTTATTTTAAGCATTCTTCAATGATATAAAAAATTTTCTCATGCATCAATAAAAATATTAAAATTCACGTGTCCCTCTTTTTTAAAAATTTAGCTCAACATTCGTTCAAATTTTGTTTATTCTGGATCAAATCTAAAATTAGCCGATAAATGATAATTGCGGATAAACAAAAAATTTAAATGTTAACCAACCAATAAGAATGTGTGTTTCAACGAAAATGTATGGTTTAGCGGAACAAAGAGTTACTTCAAGGTTTATGTTTGGACATTTCAATGGTCCATACCATTAAACAATACATAGGCTTAGCTTGCAATTAATACCAAACATGTCTAGGTAGCGTTGTTATTATTTTATAAAAGCAAAGCCCAAGTGTCTTTGTAGCATGAATTCCCCCCCCCCCCCAAGTCAACATTTTTCTCTCACCATACTACTTTTCTCACCATACTACTTTAAATTACATTTTTTACAACTTTAAATTACTTTGTAATTCAAATTGTAAAAAAGCATATTCATTAGATTTTTATATATTAAATTTCACGACAATCTCGTTCTTAATAAAAAATAGCATAAATATTGATACTTCTCCCATGATTTTTCTACATATCCAAATGAATTTCTAAATATCTAAATATTTCGTTTCAAAGTCTTGTTAAGCTTTTGTTTTTATCTATTTTAACTTTCGGTTTTGTTTCTTTTTCGACCCATACCAGAAAATCACATTCTGTCCGTCTCTAAATATATCAGAAAATATATATAAAAATATTTTTTTGAAATGCTTTCTTAAATTATAGTTGTTGTTTTTTTTCCCTCTAATAATATTAAATTTAAAGTTACAAGTTACTTGAATGTGAATGAAAAAAGACAATAAAGAAATGACATATAACAAATGTTGTTTGACTAGTTGTTCTCAATATAATGTTTGAATGCTTACCCATTTGTAAATTTTTCATTTTAACCTTATATTGGTCATACATTTCTTTAATTGCACTCAATGCTAATTTTAGGTTCTCTGAGGAAAGATAATCATAATTTAGCAATTTGATTCAAATTAAGTCAATATGTATATAGAAACAATCGGCTTACATTAGTAAATAAATTCCCAAAACATATGCATAGCCTTTTTTTGTTTCCAAGAAAAATTTTTTAAAAAGTACACAATCATTTGAAAATTAATTCAAAAGGATCAAACAAAAGTTAAAAACATTTTTAATGTTTATTAAAGCTGTTTAGAGTTTAATTCTTAGATTAATCTTATTGTTTGTTACCTATCTGCTCAGTCTTTGACTTAATTTCATCAGTGTGGTCTAAAATGTAAAAAAAAAAACAGCAATAAAGCAATACAATAATTATATTTCTGAGTTTTTGCTTACTACCCTGAAATTTAATATAATTTAACAAGGGCTACTATACAAAATATTTTAAAAATTTTCACTTCTTCTCAGTTTTTAAAATGTGGAACATAGCCATACACTGCTCATTCATGAATCGCCTTAATCCTTAAAATATTTACTCTTATTTTTTCAAAATATATTTGAAATCATTCAACAAAACTATGGAAGAATAAGAAATAATGCATTTTTTTGTTATTTATCAAACCACAATACTATATTTTTCAAAATATATTTTAAAAATAAAAAATTACAATACTACAATTAAATGTGCATAAGTCAAATATTCAATAACCAAAAGTTATAAAACTGTGTGATTAAATTAATTAATTTCTTATTAAGTAACACAGTTTGCTTATTAGAAATATATACTAGTTGTAATACTAGAGCATTTTTCAAATTTAAGTTCTAAAGTAGTGTAATCCAGGTAGTATATAATTACAACTGATTGTTTTCCAAGTAAATACCCAGAAATGGCCTTTCAAATTTTATGCCACTCTAAATTTCCACAATTGTGATTAAAAGGTGTTTGGTTAAAAGGATTATTGACTTTTATTTTCTCAACATAGATGTAGTTGTTTACCAGTCTCTCTCTCTTTAAGCCTAGCCTCAGCCTGTTCATTGGCTTTCTCCACATCTTTATACTTTTTGCTCAAACATTCTGTAGAAGAAGATTTGCAGACATAGGGAATCTTAGACTAGATTTTAAAAGTGGCAAAATATATTATCAAAAGCTACATAATATACATCCTGCCTCAATAACTAAATGGAAATAAACTTATTTTTTTTTGTGGGGTTTTTTTATGTTATAATTTGCTTATAGAAAATACATTATTAGTAGTTGAAAAGAGTACAAATAAATTTTAAAAATTCTCCAACTAGTTATGACAAGAAATTTAAAATAAACTTAGTAATAGATTTAGAAATTCAATGCACCTAACCGTCTTGTCAATGATTTTACTTCAACGTTTCGAGCTTCCATGGCAATTTTCTCATCTATTTATGGAATAAAAAGCAAAGGGGGAAAAGAAGAGTAAATGGCTTCTTAATTCATCTATTCAACTATTAATAAAAAGATAACAGATTGCAGTAAATAATTTAACTTTGATCTCTGTCTTACAAAATTTTTTGAAACTTAAAAATGAATTAGACTTAAAAAGTGATGTGTATTACTAATATGCTAGAAGTTGGATATCATTATCAATGAATTTCTAAAAAAATATTAAATTTGAATGAAAATAAGTATTCTTTATTTAAAAGTGTACATTTAGATTTACCATTTCTCATGGCCTCTAATTTTGCTTGATGCTCCATTTCTAAATTTTGTTTTATCTCTACTTTCTCTGCAAAAGTTTGAAAAAAAAATAGAAAAAATTAATAAATGTTAAAATAAATTTGTTAAAACCAAAATGTATACTACTGTATAGTCAAAAAAATTTACAACAGGCAATTTATGCATCATTTTCCCCCCAAAATATTCTTATTCATTATGGTTGATCTTAAATATTGCCTTAAAAGAAATTTAATGTGCCATTGTTTTTTTTAATATGTAGGAAAGTTATTAACTAAATAATTTTTAGTAAGTTATAAATGCATTATTTACTGCTTTCAAACAACTTCTCCAATGTTTCCTAATGTTTCCAGGCCTCCCTATCAATATCATTTTCTTTTCTAAAATTCCCTAGGATATCAAACAAAGTAAAGGATAGGCTATCGGTATTAAAATTGAAAAGTAGATTTTTATTTGTTTAATTTTCAATCCCAAAGAACTAGAATCTATGGTTTAGCAAGCGAAATCACTGATATAAGATTTAAGTTTAATATAAAGCATAGAAGTAGAAGTGACAGACACTTGACAAATCATTTTTAAGAACTTTAATTTTCTTTGCATGCTATTTAAATAAAATCGAATCATAATATTGTAATTAATTTTTAAGAACTCAAAATTTATATAATAAATTAGTTTTTTTAAAGGGCTTTAAAAAAAAATAAATTACGATTACAAGACTAAAGTAAACTGACTAGGATAGAGCTACTTGTATTTAATTTTTTTTTAATTAGCGGCTGACAAATATGCATAGAACCATTCCATCAACATTTATCTTTTATCATATGCATGCCTTTAATTAAGTTTTAAACATTTGGACAGCTTAGCGAAAAAATATTGAATGCATTTAAACATATTTTGTTTCTTTGTTTTGGAATATAAATAAGATTATTTGTGCTACTGGTAAAAAATAAATGTAACTGTGGGTCTCACTGTGAGCATGCCATTAGTTATCCCTTGGAAAAGTATGTAGATTTATAGCATTATCCTTTAATTAAGTTTTGTTTACATAAAAGAAACAATCATGAGCATACTTAGCTGGGATTCGAGGTCATCTTTTGCTTCCATACGAATTTTATTGATGGCAGCTTGTTCTATGTAGAAGATGTAATGGCATATAATAGACTATGGATACTTGAATCTAATACCTGATCAACAAAGGACACTGCCTCTAAAGACCTAATAAAATTATATTGTAATAGTTGGGGGTGGGCAGGTATTTAAGTGCCTTAGTCCCCGGGATTTGACATTCATACTTGCACATGCATGTGGTCAACATCGGATGTAACTCATCAAAGAGATGGAAAACATCCTTACAGCAGTTAAACCAATTCACCAGGGTTTCTTAATATTTTTGAAGCGCATCACCCCTTATCAATTTTCAAATAAGTCCCTGCACCTCTGGATAATAGGTATTGAAATAAAATAAATAAACGAGAAAATAATTGAGTTATGGCAGTTATTATTGTTAAATTAAATTGCTATAAAGAAATGCACCGGTACAAATAAGGCAAACAAAAAAACATTAGCTGCTAATTAAAAAATCCAAATAAAACACTGGCAATGGCAGGGAATAAATTCCCCAATAGCCTGAAAATCCCCCCCCCCCACTCTGGGCTTCCGCAATCCAGAGGCACAATGCTTGACACTGCCCCCTTTGCCTTACCACAGGGTACCATGCCTGACACCGCCCCCGAGCCCTGTACAAATAAGGCAAACAAAAAAACATTAGCCGCTAATTAAAAAATCCAAATAAAACCCTGGCAATGGCAGGGAATAAATTCCCCAAACGCCTGAAAACCCCCCCCCCCCCACTCTGGGCTTCCGCAATCCAGAGGCACAATGCTTGACACTGCCCCCTTTGCCTTACCACAGGGTACCATGCCTGACACCGCCCCCGAGCCCTGCTGTCCAGGGTCACCATGCCTGATACTAGGTAAAACTTTAGATCAATAAAACAAAACTATTTTTTAAAATTAAAATTTTTTTTTTGGTCAAGATTATGTTTGCTAATATTTTTATGTGCAGGGTGATGAGCCCAGCCCTAGGCTGGGGTACCACACTATAGCAGACCACTGTAATAATAAGAATTATAATAAAATTTTAGAAAGGATAAATAAGCTTTAATTTAAGATAAATGACAAATTTATGATGTTTCTGGTAAAACTTTCATCAGTAAAACAAACAAAAAATAGCATGAAATTCAGGCATTAACAAGTGGTTTACACCACTTTATGCGACTGCTGTCTATCTAAATTATTATTACATCACAATATATGTCACATGCACTGAGAGGCATACGGTGGACTACAGTACGTCACTAGGCTAAAAACTAATGCAGCAAAACTAATTAGAAATACCTGTAACAGATTAGCCAAATTTTTGTATAACAGTTAACTTTTTAGTGATATATATAGGCTTTTTATAGACTTTAAGAATTTCAGGATAATTAATGCAGAATGATTGCATAAATATAATCATGTAAATAAGGTTAGTACTGCCCGGGGAAGGCCAAAATGTTTTCAGACCCTTTCACAAACAAACTATGCAGTTGGCCAAAATGTTGCCCCTCCAAAAATAGGAAAAAGTACCGCATTTGCCTTTCCCTTTCGATGCAAGATCATAATGTACATACTCTGTGGCTTAGGAAGAAGGGTGCGGACAAGGCAGTCCAAAACGGGCGACAATTTTTTTATTTGAAAGGAGGGGAGGCAGGTTGTGGAAAAACCTTGGTCCAACACAGGTGACATTAACCCTAGCTACTATACTATGTACATATTCTGCCATCTCTTCTCACACGCATCCGTATGCAAAATCTCCATGATCAACAATCCATCCACTTTTTTTCTTTTGCATTTTTTCCCCCAAATGTCTTTTCATTATTTTTTTTTTTCCTAAATGTTTTTTTCTCTTTTTTTATGTTTAAGGGAAATTGGCATTACAATAATTTCACTATAAAAGGACACTATGTTGACTCTATCTTAGTGTTTATGATTACTTGTAGATTTTGGTTGTAAGAAAAAGTAATATGCAAAAATAAGTTTGAGACGTAAATTGTAGACCTAGATGACATAAAAATAGATATTATTTCCCTAAAATGGGCAATTACTTGATTGCTTGCAAAAAAAATTAACTTTGACAAATATTCATAAATGAACTGGAAATTATCTTTCTTATTCTTACCATTTTTTAATTTATTCATCTGTTCTTCACATTCTTTACGTAGCATTTTTTCTTGTGCCTGTAAGTGTTGTGATTTCTCTGTGGATACATTTAAATGAAATGTTTTTTAAATGTTCTTTTGAGAATTCTGCTTTTTTACTTGTTTAGCTTCTTTTATTTAAAGTGAAGGCCTACAATTTATTTTATTAGTGTGTTAAAAAGTCATTCACAATTTAATACCTTGATGATTTTTTTAGTTCTATGTGGCGAACTAAATATTTAAATGGGTTATATTCTTCACACAGAGACACCAACCACCTAAAACCAAACAGTATGTATAATAAAAAAATAAAATAAAATAAGCCTATAAAATAACATGTCTTTTCCCTACTACTCATGTCAAGAAAAAATATATGTGCCACGCCTTCATCTCAAAACAAATATTAGTATACCTAGCTTTATTCTCAGACGTTGATTTTCCTTGGTAAGACTATAAGATTCCCTTTGCTCTGTAAGAACAACAAAATTTTGAAAAACAGTTTTTAAACAAAAATGAAGATACAGAAATTAAATCACAATAAAGATATTTTCATTTTAAAAAAATTAGAAAGATTTCTTTTCATTACATAGGGATAAAAACTCCTTAAATTAATGATTACAGATTGTGTATGTTTATTAGCGTGCATTCCTCCTACATTGGAAGTAGTGCAATGCAGATTGCACTAGGAGATATTTATTAACTTGAATTCAACTGTCATCTACTTTTGAAATGAATAAAGTATACAAATACCTTCAGGCACCTCTACACTACCATCATTCTGAAATAATACATTTAAAAATAGTTTGAAAAATGTTTGAAAAATAGTTATAATATAAAAAATGTAGAAATAAGAAATACAATACATTTGGTTAGATTTCAAAATAATGAAGGGCTAACAATCATACATTGACCAAAAGGGAAATAATATCGGTGATTTAAAAACGAAAATTACCCTGCATAAGTAAAACACAGACAAAAGTAGTTGCTCATTTGAGGACTCTTCCCCAAGAATATGAATCACAAGGAAGGAACATTTGTTTTACAAAACTGTAAAAAAACTAACAGACAAAAATCAAACCATGCTAGGAAAAAAATATTTTGTACCCTATGATTATGACTTAAAGAATAGTTACCTTTCAAGAAATGACATTAAAGAATAGTTACCTTTCAAGAAATGACATTAAAGAATAGTTACCTTTCAAGAAATGACAGTTAAGTATGGCTTACCTCAAATTCAGTTTCTAATAATTGGTCATCTAAATCCTCTGAAATATATAAAACAATACATAAGTTATATTTTGCATGCATTTCAAATTAAACAACTTCAAAATAATATTCTCACCACTAAGTGAACCACATACTGTGTTAAATTTTATATGTGAGAACCATAAATGCATTATTAACTGAATCTTTAAATAAACTTACATTTTATTTGTAAAAATATTAATTTATTGATTTTTTATTTCATAATGAACAAATCTTTAATTTTACATAATAATTTTAAAAAATAAATACAATTTTTTAAAAAGTACTGGTAAGTGAATTTAAATATGGCTGCAGTATGTGGTATGATAGGTGTTGCCTACTAAAATATAGGGTCTAAATAACTACATAAATAACATAAAGATGTATTACGATATACTTTTCTTATTTCGAAAGGCCACGGCCAGATGATTTTGTTTCACATTGTTATCTTCAAGAACATTTAACAAACAATTAAACCAATTTTCATATGTTACAAGACAATGTAACAGTTTTCGGCTTTTCTCTCTTTCTCCGAGTGTTATTGTAATTTGTTCCTGGAAATAGAATACCAAGTTAGAGGGTTTTAAAGCTTTGTAATGAATTCTAAAGTTATAGTACTTTCTAAATAAGATCATTTCTATTATATGTCTGTCTGGAAATAAAATCAATAGAGACAAACTTTAGAACAGTGTTGCATTTTTCAGTACAAGCAATTTGTCCCACTAAAGATTCTTAGCTCAGGTGTGTCACCAAAATTTAATGTTAATGAAATAAAAAAATCAAAGTATAAAATAAAATTTTGGGCATTGTATCTAAATAATATTTGAACATAATATAATAAATATAATCTAGCACAATACCAGTTTAAAAATAATTTATTTGATAGAAAAGTCTCCATGTTATAGGCGTTGGTGATGTCCATAAAGTATGTCAAGCTTCCATGGCCATGGGGAGAAGGGGGTCTAAGAAAGTGTGATTGTTTGTGTTTTTTTTGTGGGGGGGGGGGGGGTTGATGATATCTGATGTACACATTTTTTTAAATTTTACATATAAAACCTGAAATTCATTATGGCAACTTTTTGCAGTGATGTATAAGTATACATTCTGACAGAAGATGTCTTATATATAACTTTAATCCTTTAATTGCGTAGTGTATTATATTATATTTTAATTACTTGTATTTTTTTTTCCAATGTTAGTTTGAATGTGTGACATACTTTCAGGGAGGGGGTGTCCCATATTTTGAAATATTGTGACAGAAAGGTGGGGAATACAAATTATCAAACATACTTTATTGATGAGAACTGGGACTGTTATATCTTAAAATCTTGTGGTGTGTCAAAGTTTAGTTATAATTATTACTACTATGTTGTAAAAAGGTTGAGAACCACTGACTTGTTAATTAAGCTGTATGAAAAGAGCACAGTAAAAAAAATTAATTTGAATCCACTCAGATCCCATTGGAAACTTACTTTATCCTCCTCTGTCAGCACTTTAGGATTGTACTTGTGAAACACATGAATAACATTATGTACTCTGATGTTTTCAACAAAGATGTCTTGTATTGTATTTCTCAGCTGTGTATTATAGGAGGGATTGACATACACAGAATCCCTGGCATGCACAGAATCTCTGTTATCCCCAGTGCCATCATTTGACAAAGCATTGTCATCATCAACAGGTGTACCTATATCACTCACTATCAACACTGGTCTGCTATTTTCAATGCCCATTTTTCATGGTTACTTACACCGGAACACTGCTTTAACTACATTTTTTTTTTTTTTTTAAATCTGCAAGCTTGAAATTCAAAGTGGAAACATCAACAATTTCAATTAGAATGAAAATAATAAACAAATGAAATAGTAGAATTAATATAGTGATTTAACTAATAATTCGAACATATTTTTTAATTATCAGAGTATCAATAGGCAAAACATTATAATTATACTATTTAGGCCTATACTGCCTATACTATACATTTTATTAGTGTAGTGTAAGTGTAACAGTAACAGTCAGTGAGGGTAAGTACTGTAAGTTATTAGTATTAGTTGAAAAGTTATTTAACAGGTTCTTAGCAGATCTACCATAATATTAATATACATTTGAAAATTGTTCAGAAAGTAAGTTGACCATTTAGTGTACAGTTTTTACGCGGACCATACCGTTTACTGGTCTTTAGATCTTTGTCCGGAGCTGAAACCAGTGTCAGACAAAGTCAGAGGAGCCAGTATTGACAGTAGTAGTAGTCAGTAATCGAATACTCAGTGTATTACTAGTATTAGTAGGCCTACGCCTACAATTTAAATTTAAGACTGGGCCTAAAAACTTGTTATTTATCTGATTACTCTTACTTATTAAGTCTTATAGAACAGTTTAAAAATTTAAAAAATTGTAACAACTAGCATTTAATTTTGATCAATTTAAAAGAAGAAAAGGAACCAAATGATTGTGGAAGACGAAGGTAACCTTCACCTTATGGTAGATGTCCTTCCAAGTATTGAGTATTGTGACATCGACCTTAGTACTGGTTTCCAACGTGTTATGGAAATTCCCGATGTAGGCTCTTTAAAATCCAAAGCTATTTTTAGATCAATTTTGGCCTTGCTCATAATGTCATGTTTGTACTCTTCTCTGATTTTGAATTTAGACAGGTTCCATTTCTATGATGAGGCCCACGATTACCAGGATGAAGGCGGAGTTATGACTATTGGTAGTAAAGCCAACTTGTAGTAAACTTCCAATAGCTTCTAGAGTAGAGAGCTATTGAATTGGTACTCCATCACCAGTAGCTTCTAAGAAGCGGCTGTTAGTAATTACTGTTGGTAATTTACTATAAAAAAAACTACTAAACTAATTGGTGATAGATTGATGTAGTGCAATAATTTTTGGTAGTCACAATTTATTTTTGATTACAACACTGAAATCACTCTAATGTAGACTCTATGTATGTTGCCACAAAAGAAAAAAAATGTGCCAACAAAATGTATTGTTTGTGTGTTAAGTCTCATAAATTCACTCCAATCGGATTCTCAAGACATAATACTATTAATACACTTATTTTTATTCCTTTGTATATATTTTATTTTATTTATGTATCACTGCTTATGTTTTCATCAAAGTTAGGTGCATTTAAAAAAAAAATTGATTCTGCGTACTCTGCATAGCATTAAAAAATAAATAGCAAATACTGATACCTAGAAATTAAATTGATTTATTTGTGTTAAAGTTGCACAATATAGACCCTACCCAATGAATTGTTTAATTGTGCATAAAAATACCGATGCCTTTATAAGTTAACAGGGGACTCATTTATGTAAATAACACTCAGTAGACATTTCTCCCAACTACAGAAAATCAAAAGCAGTTTGGGGGGGGGGGGGGGGGGGGGTGGTTGGTTCTAGCGACCATGTTCCTAAACAATATTTGGCCTAAGCTTATTTTATCATCGTTAAGCCTAATGACGTTATCATACAGTTTCATTTAACTAAAGTAACAATAATAATGATTAGCTCACACAAAATGTTTACAGTGGATTTTATTTTCACTGCACATCTTATTCTGGCCTTGGCAAAGAAGAAGCTTGGTAACATTTTTTTCATACTATGAATACTATGATCCCTTTCCGACCAGTATCATACATCTATCTAAGATCTATATTAGGTCTATATTATAATTTATATAGCAATATAGCCAAATCTGAGCACGGGGAAGGCTACAGCAGATAGTGTTAAACAGTAATGTAGATTTTATAATTAGTGCCGAGATGTTGTCACTAGCACAAACTAGTAATAAATGAACGGGGCAATAATACTTCGGCAGCCTCACTGGAAGCAGATTTTTAAAGCTCAGATTTTGGTTGGATTTGATTGGCTGGACTACCAATAGCTCTCTAGACGCTATTGGTAGTTTACTACAAATAGCTCCCTGCCCTAACCATAAGCTATCGGTTGTAAACTACCAACAGACACTTTCTTTCCAGAAGAGTTTGAGATCCCGCAGCGGCCCCAGTGCTTAGTGAGTGTGCTGCAACTCATAATTTTTCGTTTTTTTTAACAACCAGTTCTTTTTAAAAAAGACTTTAAGATTGAGACTAAATTTTAATAATTCAAGACGCTGAAAAAAAATTTGAATAAATAATGTAATTTTTTTGTGGGTAATTGACAGTTAAAATGTTTAAGTCATTAAAATAAAGACGGAAAACCCAACCAAAACACATATGTTTTCAACATTTTTGCCAACATTAGGTAAACGCTGCTTCATCCGATGTGTAGGACTATTCTAAAAGTTTTGATTTTTCTTGTTTGAAACGCGTCAAAATGACACCCCCCCCCCAATGCGTCACAAACTCTAATTGCACCATTTAATTGATAGTTGGTAATGGGTCCTGAGGGGCAAAGTCTATACTTAAGGGGACAGAAACAAGGTTCTGGTAAGTCTAGACTCAAGGGGACAGAGACAAGGTTCTGGTAAGTCTAGACTCAAGGGGACAGAGACAAGGTTCTGGTAAGTCTAGACTCAAGGGGACAGAGACAAGGTTCTGGTAAGTCTAGACTCAAGGGGACAGAAACAAGGTTCTGGTTGGTGTTGGTCAGCTGACATCGTTATTAATTATGGTTAAGATCAGAGTTGGTGATTTATTTCCGTTCGCAGTAACCCACTCACAGCAACGGTAGCGTAGGCCTATCTCACAGTCAGTGGCGAAACTTAACTAAATGCCACCTGGGGCGAACTCCTAAAAAGGAGCCCCCCTCCCCATTCCCCTTTGATTCAAAATATATTAAGTGTGACATCTCTGCTAATAAGTACTTACTATTGTTAAGTTAAATATTATGCACCAGTTAATTTCTTTGAAAATACATGTTGCCAGATATCCGTAAATTTTGACATAAAAAGACTTTCATAAAAACAATTTCATAAAAAGACTTTCATAAAAAGACTTTCATAAAAAAACATTCACAAAAAGACATTCATAAAAGACTTTCATAACAAAAAAATCTTGCTAGGAAAAAAACTTAGAGTTAAGTAATGAGCTAATTACCTAGTTTTTTTTTTTTTTTAAACAAGCAATGAACAGTAATATCGTTGTTCTTAACTTGTATTTGAGCAGTATAAACAGTTAGTCCGCTGATAACTTTATTTTCTAGGTTTTAGATAAGCAAATCTTTTTATTGAACTGTCTATTTTTCTCCTATGGCACCCACATGCAATTGCTTTTTCCTATTTTTGAAGATCGTTGATGGCGCCCTAAACACATGGCGCCCCGTAAAACTGCCCGAGTATCCGGTACTTTGAGCCGGCTCTGCTATACTTGCTGCTAAGGAGCGTACAATCTATTCGTAAATTTAACGTAAGACATCATCTTAAATAAGACCTTTTGGCATACTGATCCAAAACTTTCAACCATTGTCAATGCAGTTATTTCAAGCTTACAAAAATCACAACAGTAAAACTTTGAAAGATAAATCTTTTTGTTTTACGTAAGGAATTTCTTCATAGCAAATACATTTCTCTAAAAAATAAGTTGAAAAAACAAGATAGACGCACGAATCAATAACTGAGATGTATGAACTAGCAGGTGAATAATGACTGGGATGGATGAGCTAACAGGCGAATCAATGACTGGGATGGATGAGCTAACAGGCGAATCAATGACTGGGATGGATGAGCTAAGGAGATCCACGCTAAACGTACATGTAGCCACGGAAGCGGTAATTTTCGAATCCCTACTTTTTGGCTGCCTCATGTTTATGTTTTGTCTAATCGGTGTAATTACTGCCCCTCGATTTGCATTGTATCCACCAAAAGTTCTATAAAATACAACTGTCGCGAATAACATTTACATGCAATCAATAGTAATTGAGTTATAAATTAATTCAATAAAATGAAGTACATTTAAATAACTCAAAGAGATAAGTTAAGGCTTCCACGGTGTTTACATTCTTTGCAATTGTGTACATACGTTAGCCTCAGGAGGTCATCAACTTTCGATCAGGAGCTGTCCTCAAACTATTCCCCTTACCACATACTCTCTATCTCGTTATTCCAGTTACCTTTTCTCGCATATTATATATTAACTCTCTCAACACTTAGCCCTTTAACCTCACACCCACACATACACTCTCCCCCCCACCCCACTGTAAACCCTCCATTACAAAATCAAGACATTAAATAAGGGGTAGGAAACCCCATGAAAAATTCTATACGTTGATAAAAAAAAAATATGTTGTTTTCGTTCTTCCCTTTTGAGTTTGACCACCGCGCAGTTACGAAAGTTCGCTGACCTTTAACCTAAAATGTTTTCTAGCATCCATGCATTCATGGCCCAAACAGAGGACACATGAGCCAAACTGACAATGACATGTTAGGGGCCGTCCATTAATTATGTCAACGAAATAGGAGGGGGGGGGTGGTGGGGGGCGGGGAGGGGGTTGGGAAATGTCTGACAATTGTTGACAAGGGGGGAGATGGGTTAGGCTAGTTGACGTCAACAATCAAGCTTAAGATGCCATAAAATGATGTTTCAACAATTTTGTGTCATTGAAATCGATGAGCAAAAAGTCAAATGTGTTCATATTTTTATTACAATTCATTTTTAAGGGGGGGGGGGGGGG